CCCCCGTATCTGTCCGTCCGTCCGTTCTCCGAGCGCAACCCCGACACGTATCCTCTGTGCTCGATCCGAACCCCTGGAAAACACGCGAGTGTGTGCGACGTAACGCTACGCGAATGCCGTGATGCTGCACGGTGACGGACAACGATCGTCGGGGCAGCTCGACACCGTCTCGGTCGCATCCTCCTGACAGTATGAGCCTCGTGCATCGTCCTCGCCGATAAGATAGTGGTGGTCCGCTCTAAGGACGATGTCGTCGCAGTGAGGAAGATCGCAACTTTCGACCCCGCGAATGGATCGGGATTACGTCCGTTACGCGACCAAGTGGCACTCGGTGAGACGCGAACAGTGTGTCCGCGACCTGAAGAGTGTGTGATATATAATATAATATAATATATATATACAACGTACATCGCGTGTGAGTCGTGGTACTCTGCAACACGTGTGACAGTTTCGAGAAAGAGGGAGATCCACTGGGGAGGTTTGTCAACGAAGACGGTGTTCCTGGACGTGACCGTGTTCCGCATTTTGCCCGCGGATATCCTCGTGATCGGGATTGTCTCGTGACTCGCTCACGCAGATTGTGCCTCTTCGAGCAATGTTGTTCTAGTGCGTTAGATTTGCAGTGACGATGGTCGGATTCTACGCCGCGGACACCATGGATTTCTCTACTACGGTCGCGGTGTCGCGACGCTCTTTTGCCAAGGATACGGAAGATCGCGCGAGCAGTGGATCGAGACATCGAACGACGAACAGGTAAGACCCGTGGAGCTTTTTCCCTGATGATATCGGTGTTGGTTCCGTGCGGGGTTGCTTTCCTGGCGAACAACTCCATTGATAATTCTCCGGTGACGTTTCGCGTGTGCTTTCCGCGAGCGCATGTGTGACTGTGTGTAGAAAACTCGGTGCAACGAACCTCCTCGTGTTTATGTACACGTGTTATCGCGGCCGTGGCTGCGGAAAACGGAACAAATTCGTCCGGGCGAGCAGATGCAACACGACAGGATGATCCGACGCACGCGAAACGAAAAAGACCGTCGAACGAGCTTTTTTACCCCGACGACGATTTTTCTCGTGTGCGCGAAACGGCTCTTGAAATATTCACGCGGGATCGATATTCCACGGTTGTCGCGATACGTGACCCGACGTGGACGACGCAACGCGTTCAGATTGGGCTTTCGGTGATTCCGGAACGGAGCACGGAGGACAGCACGGAGATAAATGTAAGGCACGCGTCGTTAAAGTATCGATCTACGCGGAATAGGCTGGCACCGCATACAGAGACCGGGAATTAAATGGCGCGAGAGGGAATTTAACGGCATCGGACCTCGAAGAAATTTACGCGGTCGATATGAAAACGCGTTACGCGTTAGATACGACGCCGCCAAGACGTGTTCTAGATCGCTCGGTGATTTATGGTCGCGTTAATGTCCGGCACGTAATTAACGAGGAAAAGGCATTTGTCCAAAGAGATTTCACTGACTTTCTGTCCTCGGCGTTGTATGATTGAATTATGAAAGATACACGATATTTTGCTCTTTTAGAAAAATTCTGAAGGACAATCGATCGAGTTCACTTGTTAATACATTATTGCTTCGTGAATATGTATCTAACAATAAATAACTATACGAGTCGGTTTCATCTCTTTCTGTCAATTTTTTCGAATTGCCTCTGAATTGCATCAAAGTGCACTGTTGCTTTTTAACTGTATCGAATAAAAAGCACAATTTATTGGTTTATTGATGTTTTAGCGATCAAATATGTTGACATTGTAAATATCAAAAAGTGGTCGTTGAACCGAAAAAGAATGCGTACGCACGCGTATGCTCGAACAGGTTAAACACGTCTTCCCGTCAGCGAATCTTAATTTGCCACATTAAATCCATGAAGAGTTTCGCTTTTTCTTGAACGATGAAAGTGCACTCTTGCAAGCTCGCGAGTGAAGAGCCCAAGAAAGAAGAGAGTACTCGTTTACGAGTGTTACAGTTTTGATATTCCAGGCGTCAAACGCGAAGTCGGTCAAATTTGAATTCCAATTTCCGGGGATATTAAGCGGCCGCTCTTAACGTGTCTCCCTGTAATCTCGCCTTAAAGGCACAGGATTAGAACGCGTTGAAAAAGCCGCGGGAGGCTTTGAATAATCTCGAGACAAAAGCAACACGAGAACAGGTCCCGGTGTAACCTGGTAGCTGGTACCCTTTTTTGCTTGGGGTCACGAATGTCAATGCGTCCTCTGCGTGGGCGCATTTGCCTAATGCTGAAAATCCTCGTGACCCGGTGTCTCGTAATCCGAGCGTGTATTTTAATTGGCTCACCCAGGCTACATTTTCCATGACGCCACGTGAAATAACGTTCCAGAAGTTGTAATCGCGGCTCTACCTTCTTCGTTAACCTACCTTCACTTTAGCCCTCTATTTCGTTCCTGTTTTGCCCTATCAATTGAAACTCTAATTATTCGCAAACAAAGGCACTTTGTTTCGAGGAGTCGGAGCTAGGGAGATAGGTATCTCAAGGTTTAGGGATGTGGACACGAACGTACTTGGGGTATAAGGATGTGGAGATGTAAGCATCTAGGGATGTAGGGATGTGATGATGTAGGAATCTGAATCTTTAGAGACCTAGACCTAGAACGTGTTTGGGATATAAAGATGTGAAGGTGTAGACATCTGAGGACATAGAGATGTGATCACATAGTGGAGGTTTAGGGATCTGGACATAAACGTATTTGAAAATATAGTGATGTGGAAATACATGAACCCCAAATCTAGGTGTCTGAGGATTCAGTTATCTGCAAATCCAAGAATCCTAGCAATTTCGAATCCTAGAACTGTCTTAGTAACCTAAACATCCGAAGATGTAAAGATCACTTGAAGATCTAGTGATCTCACAATAAATCTAAGAATACAAAACCTGCCAAATATCTTCTATTCTAAGAATCAGCACATCTATGAATCTTCTGTTATCACATCTTAAATTTCAAAGTTAATTAAGTTTCAACAAGCTAATTTAGCAAGATGCCACAAAGAAAATGGTATCGAAATAAGTGTTGAGCTAATTGATGAGTATCTGTTGTTTCTCGATAGCAGAAAATAAATTGTGTCATTGCGGAAACTCTGTACGTGAAAACGAACGAACGAAGATAACCCAACGTTCACGACCGACAATGTTATCAATGCGTTATGGCATGGCATTACCGGTATCCTTTCTTCCCCTGGGTCGCGTATTGTTTCGACTCGATGATGATAACAGGCGAAACAAGGAATAGGTTTTTGTTCAGGCTTTCAATGAACTGCCGGCTCCTATTTTCGTTTTCCGCAAGCTTAACTATGTGTCCTTTTTGTTCGTTTTATCCGCGCGTACGCGATTTTTCAGGGAACTTTCGAACGAAGTGATCCTACCGCGAACCGTTAACAATACATTCAATGCGTATTATTCATTCGATAGATGCTTTTTTGAAAACAAAATGATCTCCATGGTATTTTCGGTGAGTTCTTCCATTTTTTTTTTTTTTTTAATAAAAAATCGGGGAATATTCACGATATCGCGTAACAATCGTACGTCAGGATTATTATTTCCTTTCGTTGGAAAATAATGAAAACGCGCGATACGCGAAAATCAACGCGACAGGCGCGTTGTCGACATCTCGTGGACATCAATATTTTTGTTTTCAATCGAATCGCTCCGATCGGCCGCAACGAGATGTTGTCTATTTCCGATGAAATTACAGCGAACGAAAAAGAAATAATAAAATAAAACGAAACGAGAGGGAAGAGGGGCGGGAGGGGTTGAGAGCGGTACCGAAACGAACGACACGCAAGGGGAACGGGGTATATAGTCGGAGCATTTTAAACGGCAACAAAGACTCGTCCCTGTTGAAAATTCGAGCTTGGATAGGATCCTCTCGTTTCGCGAAAGCTTTCCCTATCGCGCGATACGGTATCGCGAGAAACGATACGGCGTGCCTGAATTACTATATCGAAATTCTAGCCTCGACGAACCGTAGCAATTTCGAATCGAAAATAATCCTTTTATTTCCATGGCCCGTGGATCCGTTCGGTGCTCTTTGTCTCTGTCCGTTGCAACGAAATTTCAGCTCGCGGTGCTGTCTCGTCCCGATGAGAGACAGACACACACAAAAAAAAAAAGAGGAAGAAACGAGGCCAGGCATTTAGAAGAGATCGGCAAAGGGGAATACGAACGACGAAACGGAGTTTGCCGTAATAAAACGAAGGGTAAAAAAGGAAAACGCGTCGCGGCGTGTCGGAGCCGTCGAAAGTTTGACCCGGTTTCGCGAAATTATCCTTCCATTTGGCAACGATGCTGCCAGGCTCCCGTTGCGCCGTAAAATCCACGAAAAGAAGGGTGGAAGGGTGAATTCGCTTCTTGTGTGTGTGAGCGTACGTGTGTAAAGAAACGACGTTCCATTCGTGGAAAGGAAGAAATCGTAAAGAAGCATACGTTGTCGTAAAGCTAACGTAATACGGTGCCGGTGGCAATTTTTGCTCCGAGAACGATAGCCTCGCTGTCTTCTTGTTTCGTGGCCGGGTTTTTACTGCGCTCCAGGCAGCCTGACTTAGCGACAACACTCTTTGACGTACACAAAGGGGGCCCAGGATGGGTCCGGTCGCATACATAATGCAAACTGACCCCCTCATCAAACGCTACACAAGGGAGGAACAATCGAGTCAATTTTCAGTGGTATCTAGATTTGTCAGATCCTTCGCGTACCTGATAATATTATCATCTTTGTGACCACTAGCTTTTGTGCTAGCGATTCAAAATAATTTCTCAAGAACATAGTGTTTGCGCTCGAGAGGTGACTCACAGTCACCATTATATTTAATACAATAATTTTAAATAAGCATTTTTCAACTAGTTCTATAACATGACATGTGTGATGTATAAACATAGTGAAATAGTGGAAATTATTAGTAAAGAAATAATAACCTCAAGAAAATTCATCTAACTTTTTAACTAAGTTTTAAAGTTGCCGTCTATAAACAGTTAAATTACCTTTGAGTGCAGAGGGTTAACATTTAGTATCCTCTTGAAGAGTACATCAAAATCTAGCACGATGTGAAAATTTCACGTCGAACTTCAAAGTGAAGGTCAGCTGTTAGAAGACAGCTCACTGCTGTCTTACAGACTTACATCTTGGGTGTACAATTGCAAGATACATAAGGATATTCATTTTAGACATAAATGGTAATAGTAAAATATACGACCGAGGAAAATAAGTATTCTACGGTCAGGGAACACGATATCCTCGGCCAGTGGATCCCAAATCGAGCTGCAGTGCAGCAACGCGCTGAAGCGTTATTAACGCGGCTTTAATTCGCCTTGACGCGTTGCGTTTCAGACTGCGTGCGTGGGTTCTCTGTGTAGCGAATGGAATCGCGAATACCGCGAGGTTAGAGCATAGTTGCGAAACATTTCATCGGGTCCGTTAAATAGAAACGCAGCAGCGTGGCATCTGAAACGCGAACTACCCTCGAATTCGAACGATACCGATGCAACCTGCCGAGCGGAAGTAGCAGAAAGTTAGAAACCGCGAACGTGTATCGTTGTTTTGGTAGCTTGGATGCTCCGATCGGCTGGAGGAAAGTGTTCACCGCGTTATTTTCGGTCAACGAACTGAGCTTTCAACGGGTTATGCGAACGGAAAACGTATTCTGCTGCTCTTTGATGACTTTAGCTCTTTTAGAATATGGTCGGCAGAGATATTTTATATTCCTTGTATTGGGGAAGCTTTTGAG